GCTGTCTTAATCTCTTCAAAATGTCAATGTCATATGGGCACAGGTAGGAGGATTGTCATAAAATGAGTCTAAAGAGGAATAATAGCCAAAAGCAGTGCTCAGATTTTGACTGGCCTTGATTTGAAAAGAAAAACTAATTAATAAAGATACTTTTAGACAATAGGTAATATTTGAATATGGAATAAATATTAGATGAGATTGTAGATTTATAGTTAATTTTGTTAGGTATGATAATGGTATTAAGGTTATTTAGGAGAATGTTTTTATTTTTAGAATACATATGTTGAATTATTGAAATTGTTTCATATTGGCAACTTATTCTCAAATGTTTCATCCAAAAACGTTTATATATTCATTAATCTATGTACACACATAGAAGAATACATGGATTGAGAGTAGATAAATAAAAAATGATACATGTTAACAGCTGTGATTCTATGTGTTGGGGATAGAGGTGACCTTTATTATTCCAGACTTTCAATTTATTTGACATTCTTTATAATAAAATGTTTGGAAATAAATGAAGTCACTAAATCAAATGTTACTAATATTATTTATTTCCAAATCACTGTCTAAAATAATAAAGTGTTGTTTTGAAAGGTATTTTTTTAGTACATTCATTGAAAAGTGGCCGGGTGTGGTGGTTCACTCCTGTAATCCCAGCATTTTGGGAGGCCGAGGCGGGTGGATCACGAAGTCAAGAGATCAAGACCATCCTGGCCAACATGGTGAAACCCCATCTCTACTAAAAATACAAAAAAATTAGCTGGGCATGGTGGCTCACACCTGTAGTCCCAGCTTATCCGGAGGCTGAGGCAGGAGAATTGCTTGAACCTGGGAGGCGGAGGTTGCAGTGAGCTGAGGTCGCCACTGCACTCCAGCCTGGTGCCTGGTGATGGCGTGAGACTCTGTCTCAAANTATCTGTTATGGTGATCAGTGATCTTTGATGTTCCGATTCCAATTGTTTGGCAGTGCCTCAAATCACACCTATATAAGACAGCAAACTTAACAGATAAAAGTGAGTGTTCTTTCTCATGATCGTAGTTTTGCTGTCTATAAAAAAAAAAAAAAAAAAAAAGGAAAAGTATGTAGTTCCATGAGTAAGCGATCAGCTCCACCGTCAGAGGGGATTTTTAATTTTTTCTTCACCAGTGCTGAGTGGAATGACCTCAGGCAGACTTTCAAGGTCTCAGTTGTCTTATCTATAAAATAGATGACAATAAGAATGGCTATTTGATAAGGTTGTTATAAAAATGAAATTTATATTATCTATAAAACCCTTAGCTCAGTACCTGGCAAATGGAAACTACTCAAATCTCTTCATTTATTATCATTACAAATTCTAAGCCCTTGCTACATTCAATTAGAAAAACCAATGGAAAAGCACCGCACATTAAATCATCTCTATTATATTACATTCTAGTGCATTCTGTAACTTCAGGCCTGTTGCAAGTCCTTAGGGAAGCAAAACATTTTAATGCGTTTGTAAGAATTACTCATAATTAGCATGTAAATTCTTAGAATAAATTATTTTTTTTACATAACTGAAAATATTCTCCTTTAATGTTTAAATATTTTATCTGGATGTTTGTCCTTGCAATTATTTTGCCTTCAGTTTTCTGAAGCATAGACAACTTTATTTTGAATTATTTTATATATATATAATTTAGTGGAGTCTAAATTGATGTATTTTGATGTATTAGAGAAAACCAAACTAATATATCTCATGGGTAGAATTTCAAACTATAAACATTTTCGATAGTTTTGTTCTTAGTTTGTAAGCCACTGGTAGACCAGTCATTCTTAAAAAGCAAATTAATTATGAGACAGAATTTATCTAGCATTTGAAGAATATAAATCTTAGGATCTTAAAGATGGCTAGAAAAGTGTTTTCACAGTAATTTATAAAAGTGAAGGCACTTATTTTTCCTGTTAAATGATTTTTGTTTTGTGAATTACAGAAGTTCTTCAGTTATAATTGGTAATATTTTAGAGTGTTTCTTCTTAAAAATCATTCTTAATTTTTAATAGCAATAAATGCTGCTCAGTGTTTTGAGGCATTTAAAAAGGAATTTTAAATTGTAAAAGACTATACATTTAAAATGCCCTCCTAAAACCTGATGCTTTTGTTTTTACTTAATGCATTATATAGTCTAGTAAATTTCTTCTCGTGCATAAGAACTCTCATGGAAATGAAAATACTGTAGTATGGCTAGGGATAGCCAGAGCCTAAAGTAAAATAAGAGGCATAGTGTAATACGAATAGGCTTGTCTAAAGAAGGAAGCCAATTATAATAAAATGAGAAAAACCTCAGTTGTAGTTTGTATTTTCCACAAATGTCTAATGGAACAGAAGCACTCTGTTCATCTCAGAAGAAACTGAAATATAGCTCATTAAAACAACAAGGAAGGACTAAATTTTTCAACCTATGTAACTTGTAGAAACAGCTTCCTCTATCTCCTTCTGTCTTTCTGTGATATGGTCCATCCAGCTGCTGAAATAGACTGCCTTCTGGAAATTAAACCCCACATGGCTCAGACCATAGCAGTAAATCTGGTGCAACAGATGGTCCTGGGTGAATTGTTACACCTCTGCATAATACCTTGGGATTTCATTAATAAGATTTACCCTAAGTAATGGAAATCAGAATGACAAATTAACAGAAAAACTTTCATGCTTTTACTAAAAGAGCATATTATTGTTTCTTTTATTGTATAATTCTAAGCAAGCTAAAATTATGCTATATGTAAAATATAATGAATACACATATATATGCACTCAGTTATAGCCTCTTCTCCAATCAGACATTAAGCTGTGATTAATTAAGACCATAGTTCCACATCCCAGTAAGATTTTCCAGTGAAATTTCAGGAATTATATGCTGATAAGCTTTTGTTTTTTAAAATTTAAAGTTATTATAATTTCACTTAAAGTAAGTTTTGTTGGTTTGTGCATTTGACATCATTTAGTATTTTTATTTGTTGTTTCATGGGGAGAAATAAGAGAACAACATTGTTCAATGTCACAGTACTATGAGTATGGATCCTTGTTCTACCTTTCAGATCTAATCACTGTCCTTTGAAGCATTCACAATTCCGTGCTTTCATAACTACATTTGTTATTTATAAATAGCTGAAAATACAGGGGTCTGAAAAAGACAGATATAGTTCTTTATTTGTGTGGGTTTTTAATTCTAGCAGAGAAGACATGCAATAACAAATATCCAGGCCAGGCACAGTGGCTCACGCCTGTAATCGCATCACTTTGGGAGGCCAGTGTGGGTGGATCACGGGGTCAAAAGATTGAGACCATTCTGGCCAAGGTGGTGAAACCTTGTCTCTACTAAAAATAGAAAAATTAGCCGGGAGTGGTGGCATGCACATGTAGTCCCAGCTACTCAAAAGGCTGAGGCAGGAGAATCGCTTGAACCCAGAAAGTGGAGGTTGCAGTGGGCCGAGTTTGCACCACTGCACTCCAGCCTGGCGACAGAGTGAGACGCCATCTCAAAAAACAAACAAACAAAAAAACCCAAATATCCAATTAGTTATCTAATTATACTTGTAGTAAGGGATTAAAGAGCTCATGATAGGAGAGCTTGACCTAGCTGGAGAGGGGTTGAGAGAGTGGGAAGCTTTCTGTTAAGTGAATGCTTGAAGATCTGAATGCATCATCAATCAACCTGTGTCTTGAATAATGAGTAGGAGTTAGCCTAGAGAAAGGTTTGTGTATGGAGGGAGATCTGGAAAGGGAAATAGAGCTTGAAGGAATCTGGCGACAGCAGACTAACAAAGGAGAGAGTGGTTTTCTCCTCATTGTTAGTTGAGGGACCTATCAACAAAAGAGTCAAACTCTGTAAAATATTTCAAGAGATTTATTCTGAGCCAAATCTGAGGACCGAAAACATGTGCCCAAAGTGGTTACAGCTTGATTTTATACATTTTAGGGGGACAGAAGTTGCAGAAGTTACAGGCAGACATCCATCAGTACATATAAGGTATACATTGGTTTGGCCTGGAAAGGCAGGACACTCAAAGTGGGAGCTTCTAGGTGGATTAGAAGATTTTCTGATTGGCAATTGGTTGCATGAGTTAAGTTATTAGCTGAAAACCCAGACTCAATAAAGGAGTTTCTGGATTTAGATAAGGGATTGCAGCGATGAAGGTTCTTATTATGCAGATGTGCCTCCAGGTAGCAGGCTTCAGAACTCTTATTAGACCTAAAAAGATGCCAGACTCTTAGTTAATTCTCTCCTAGGTTAGGAAAAGACCTGGAAAACAAAGGAGATTTTGTATAGAATGTAGATTTTCCCCACAAGAGACAGCTCTGCAGGAAAGAAAGACAGCTCTGCAGGAGAGAACATATGTCAAAGGAATATATTTTGGGGTAAAATACTCCCATTTCTTTCAGGGTATGCTATCTGTCATGTAATTCTATACTAGAGTCAGGTTGGAGTTTGGTATCTTATTTCTATAAAGAGTCTGTTTTGTCAGTCTTAAGATTTCTGTTTTAATGTTAATTCTAGAAAGTGTGACTGAATTCCAAAGGGAGGAGGGTATAATGAGGCATGTCCAATCCCTTCCTTCCCATCATGGCCTGAAGTAGTTTTTCAGGTTGACTTTGGAATGCCCTTGGCCAAGAGGGGCATCCATCAGTTGACTGGCGGGCTTAGAATTTTCTATTTGGTTTACACATCCATGGTCACATGGGTAAATATAACAGTGGTTTGGACTCAGTCTGTCCAACCTCTAAGTTTTTTTTCCATACTCCATGCCTTTTCCCTATTAGACCTCAAGCCATGCTTAAATGATTGCTTTGATCTTCATTGGCAGCTTTTCTTTTTTTTTTTTTTTAGGTTGTGTAGCTAATGTATTTTTTTCCTTTGCAGATATTTGGTCATAAAATAGTTTTGTATTTTAATTTAGATTAATGGTCATTTTAATTACTTATGAAAGTAAGTTACTATTCATGTGTTTAGCATTATTCTGTTTTGTTTTTCAGCGTTCCAACGTTCCAGAGCCTTCCTGAAGAGATCCTTAGCAAGCTCGCTGATGTCCTTGAAGAGGTAATTGTTTTTAGTCTTTGAACTTTTTGAGATGGGACCCAGGCTGCTTGGCTGGCTTCTTTCATAGCTGTCCAATGAGAAATCACAAACTGCAAAGACATTTAAAGTTTTTTTTTTTTTTTTTTTAAGTTCTGGGATGAGCTATATATTTGACTTCATATAGAAAGCAGCTTAGCACGTCTGGCATTTATACACAGAAATGTGCAAATCAGCCTAATTACAGAGTGAGACAAACTTTTTGTTGTGGTAAATACCATGTTACTTTGATTTACAAGAATAGGAATTGGCATATTTCTCTTATTTTAACTAGTGTACAGTAAAATTATAGTTATTGCCACTCTGAAGCTTCAGATTAGCAAATTTGCAACAGGAATTAGTAGTTGGGTACATATTTCATTACCATATAAGCATATTTGATACAAATAATTTTATGCTTGAAAGTAAAATATCACTTTTAGTTGTTTTTCTCTGAACCTATAAAGCGATAGTTTTGAGAAAGAGGAGAAACAATGCACATTGGTCTATTCTGCATACGGGACTTCATAACAGCAGCAGCAGGAGGAAGTTTTTCCATTCAAACTGACGAGCTTTATACGGAATGTAGTCTAAAGTTGTTCTCCTAAAGGTATTGGGCATGGAAGTTTTGTTTCAGTTTGAAAAGATTAAAAAATTACCTTTTCCTGTTTGCTGAGGAAATAGAGATGCATTGGTAATGTGGGAAAGCTCAAACTTTTTCTCTTAAGTTTCAAGTCTAAGTCTTTTGGAATGAATTGACAATAGCAAGATTAACAGAAGTAAGTGTCATACAGGAATAGTGTATGGGGAGGTCATCATGGCAGAATTGGAGGATGAGGTCAGAAAAAGGTGTGTCTAGAGTACTATAGGAGCAAGCAAGTAATGGAAGGCCACTTAGGACATGGAAATTAATTTACTTTTACTTAGAGTGAGATAGAAGCCATTGGATGGCTCTAAGCAGAGCAATGAAATTATTTGACTTAGATTTTTAACAAAATTGTGTGGCTGCTGTGTTAAAAAAAATAAAGAGGCTGCCGCAATAATCCAGGGAGTAATAATGGTGACTTTGTTCACCATGGGAGAAGGAGATTGAAAAATAGTCAGATTGTGACTACATTTTGAAGGTAAAGCTGAAAAGCTTTACTATTGCAGTGAACTTGTAAAATGAAAGAATGAGAGGAATCAAGGAGAAACCCTGAGGTTTCTGCTGTAAATAACTAGAAGGATGAAGTTGTTATTTTTTGTTTATTTACTTTGAGTTGGAGTCTTGCTCTGTCACCAGGCTGGAGTGCAGTGGCTGGATCTTGGCTCACTGCAACCTCTGCCTCCCAGGTTCAAGCAATTCTCCTGCCCCAAGTAGCTGGGATTACAGGTGCATGCCACCATGTCCAGCTAATTTTTGTAGTTTTAGTAGAGATAGGGTTTCACCATGTTGGCCAGTATGGTCTCCATCTCCTGACCTCATGATCCACCCTCCTCAGCCTTCCAAAGTGCTGAGATTACAGGCATGAGCCACAGTGCCCAGCTGGAGTTGTTATTAATTAACATGAAGAAGACTGGAAGAGCAGTACATTGAGGTGGAGAGCTAAGAAGCTCAGGGAGAGAGGATGGGATAAAATTGGAAGCTTAGAGATCTTTGGCAGGTAGATGGTTTGTTGTAGCATTTTTTGTGTGGAGGGAGCTGTTGGCTATCTGAATATCATTCTGTGGAACCAAATGCAGATGAATACAAGGCAGAACCCTGAAGCAGGGAGCACCCAACAATTATTATAAAACCATGAATGGATTTCAAAAACATCATGCTGAGAGAAAAGCTTAAAACAAACAAGAGACAGTTATTAAAACATCATTTACATATATGAAAATATATGAGCACAAAAATACATTTTGCTGAGACTCATGACAAACAAAATATGGAAAATGGGATACATGTGAACAGTGGCCTATAACAGAAAAGGGAAGGGAGATCTATAGGAATAAAAGGGAATGAATGAATGAATGAAGAGGAAGCCATAGAGTAAAGCCTTGACTGATTCTTCACATTTCTACTTTAAGAGACTGAGGAATGAAGAGGAACCAGAAAAGCCTATGGAAGTAGGAGGAAAATCAGGAACATTTTCATGTTATAATCCAAGAGGAGAAAATAGCTGAGAGAAGAGTCAGCAAAACTTGGATTTTAATTTAAGTGAAAAGATAAGGAGAGAAATGGGGTTAGCAGGTAGGAAAGGGAAAGTCAGGTTGAGAGAAACACAGAAAATATTATTGAAGCAGGAGACAGAGAAGTTTGCATATATAGCCCCTTGAGTAAGCACAGAAGCATAGGCACTCTAGTGCCTCTAGAAACAGGGAAGGTAGACAATCTGGATGCACTTGCAGATAGGTGGATTGATGTAGTGGCTGGAGCTGTGGAAAGCCTGTTCTGATGTATTCTATTTTCATAGTGATACAGAAAGCAAGGTGATCAAATGAGACTGGGGATGAGGTAGAGGTACAAATGGTTTGAGAAGGAAGGTATGAGAAAAATGGAAAAGTAAATGAACTATGGAAACTTAGTATGATTGCTAGGCATCATTAAGGCCCCGCTTGATGTTAGAAATCCCAAACCTAAGTTAAACAGGCAATGAAGTGTTTTTCAAGACTATTGCAATAGGGGAGGGAGATTCAACTCCATGGAACAAAAGGTAGAATAGCTTTTAAGCACTAGGGTGAGCTACTGGAAAGTCCTGTAGCTGAACTCCAGTGAGGGAACTCTAGGAGGGAGGCAGTTGTTCATTAAGATTAGGCCATCTGTGTTTGCTATTCATCTCTTATGGAAGTTAGGGTCCCATCCTCCCAAGAGACTGAGGGAAAAGGAACCTGTCTCCTTCTAAGATTGCAGTTCAAAGGGCTGGCTCTAGGGTCTTTGAGAAAGACATCCCTGGGTTGTGAAGTTAGCTGGGAGAAGATTTCTATCTCAAAGAGGCAGATTAAGAATTTTCAGTTGAAAGTTTTTAAAAATAAGTGCTCTAAGTAAAGGGAAATCAGTAGCTTTGAGTCAGGAAGCTGACTGAACTAAAGTTTAGTCAAAAGTTTAGTCAAACTGAGGAGAATATTAAGCCCTCTTGGACACGAGAACACTTGATTAAATGTCCGTTTTTTAGCCTCGTTCATTTGCCTGGATTCACTTTCCAGGTAGGTATAGAATTGAATTTACCCAAGATTGTTATTTTGCCTAGAGCAGATGGGTGGTTGATAGAGGGAATGGGGAGTTTGAGTGTGCATATGGAGAGTGATTGCAGTGATTGACCTTGGAATTTAAACAGGGCAAGGAGGAGAGGAGCACCAGATGGGCAGTAGTCAGTGAGAGGTGGTAGGATCAGTGACTTTTAGTCTCATGACGTTAAAGAATTTCTGGAGTAGGGTTATAAAAAGGGATAAATTGGAAAGAGAGTGAAAAGGCTTTTGTCTCTAGGTACTGACTATACCAGTAATTCTGTGATACATATACAGATTCTTAGCTGGTGGCTTATTGAAGCCAGCTTTGCTGTGACTTACTGGTCTCCTTCATCTATGTGAAAATAAAGTGAAGCAGCACATTGTCACATTTGACTCTTATGTTCAAGTATGAAAAATTTATGAGAAAAGTTACTGGCTGTATTTCTGTCTGAATGTGCTGACCTGTAACCTCTGTAAATATAAAACTACTTTTCCCAGTTGGTCTTTTGCCTTTTGCTTTTTTTTTATTGAATACACTGAAGATCTCTCTGGTGCCACTGTGTGTTGTTGGTTTTAAATCGAACTAAAGCACAAATTTATTAGCCCCAATCAACCTCCTAAAAAAAAAAAAAAAAAAAAAAAAAAAAAACCAAAACAACACAAAAAAAAAAAAAAAAAAAAAAAAAAAAAACAACAAAACAAAGACCCCATGAAATTCTTTAATCATTGTCTTTCTTTTCCACAGCTGTGAAAGTATTTGTTATTTTGTGTAACAAAAGCCATAGCTCTATAAATAATTCTGACCAAAGAAATAAATATTTTAGTATTTTATGTCAGATTTTCTAATCAGAAGATGCCTTAATTTATGTTTGGATTGTGTGAGCCATGGTACAGTCCATATCAATGCTGAATTAAAATGGAAGCAGATGATTAAGTACTCATATATTTGTTTTCAGGACGTAAAAATGAAGTAAATACACAAAACACAAACTAGACATGTAAATATAGTATCCAGTACAAACAAAGTATTTAACTCAAGTTAAACAGGCACAATGAGAAACTAAATTATGTATCAGATAAAGTGAAGCAAATTTGGAAGAGCAGAAGCAATACCGAAGTCACATAACATTAAGGGGAAATGTGCTTGCATAATAATTGAGCTGTCATTCTACAAATAGCCACAAGATGAAAGAACCCCAGATTATTTTGAAAGGAAAGCAATACCATTATAGCCTTCATCAAAGAAGTTTACAGCTTTGTCTGTCTGCCAAGTATTTATGGCACACCTGCCCTTTGCCAGGAATTGTTTCAGGCCCTGGAGATTCAGGGCTCTGCTCTCCCATAGCATGTGTTTGAATGAAGGATACTATGATAAGGAAGGAAGGAGAATAATGTCAAGTGAGAAGCCTACTTCTGTAGTTACTAAGGGAAGAACTCTCTGAGGAGGTGATATTTAAGCCAAGATCTAAGTGAACGTATGGGGAGCCATGTGCTTCTGGCAGAGGAAAGAGCAGGCACACCATTTTAAAGTAGGAATGAGGTTGCTGTCCTTAAGGAACAGAAGGAATATTTGTGGATGGTGGTAGTGAGGTGAGAGGAGGCTACAGAAAATTAAGCAGGACCAAGTTGCATAGGGTTCTGTCGGTCATGATGAAGAATCTGGTTTTTATTCTAAATGTAATGGGGAGATTTTTAGGTTGTAAGTAGTAAAGAGACAGTGACATAATCTGAGTTATGTTTTAATAACATCTCTCTGACTATCGTGAGAAGAATGGATTACTGAGGGACAG